CGGCGCCGGGGGGAGCCGTGGGACAGCAGCCCCCGGGCGGCCCCGAGCCCGGCCGCCCTGCCACCCGCAGCCCGGCCCCGGCAGCGCTCGCTCAGGGCCAACCCTGGTGCCTGCCCGACGCCGTCACGCCTCTGCCGCGCTCCTGGTGCTGCTGCGGCCGGAGCGAGCGCGCCCGCCGGAGAACCAACCGCCCGCTCGCTTGAGCGCGGCTCAGATTTGTGTCGCCATAACCAGGAAACTCAGTAGTGTCCTTGCTACAGCTGCTTCCCAAGGCAGAGCCAGAGTTCACCTCTCATGTTTCTTTGGTTTGTGGTGGTTTGGTTAATGTAGCGTGAAGTTACGGGTAGGAGGAATATAGATTTAGTTGCATAAATTAGTTATCAGACTCACCGTTCTGTGTCAGTTTGGTAGAGCAGACGAGGGTGGAGATCTGGAAACTGTCCCGGGTGGACACGCTTATCCCCGAAGTGCCTCCGCTCACTCGGAAGGAGGAACCCGAGAGGATCTTTGACTCCAACACGTTTCTTGTGGACGGCAGGTTCAGGTACGAGCTGGCGTCTTCCAGTTTCCGACTGTCGCCCTGCAACCCAGCACATGTCTCACAAACGAGCAGGACATTAAGAAGGTCCAACTCTCAGGAGCCCTTCGGGAGACAGGTTAGTGCTGATATTACCTTCCCTGACTTGCTCTGCACAACAGTGCAATAAAATCAGTAGGGCTACAGACAAATAAAGGTAACTCCTACGCGATGGATTCAAAGCTCGGTAACTTTAAGCTCTCAAGAGTCACTGTAATCTGGGAGCTCACGTGGGAAATCACCGCCTGCACCGCGGGCTCTGTGCGGATGGTCCGGCAGGCTCTGCCGACCTTAATTTCTGCAAACAGCTTGGGTGGATTTTTTGCTGCGAGGCCCCGCTGGGATCTGTGCTCAGCCTGATGCCGCGACGCTCCCCGAAGAAGGTACTGAACCACAGCTGGCAAAACTTAGGGAGGACAAAAACCAGCGGGTGGAAAACAGCGACGGGCAGAGGTCAGTGACGGGTGGGCACGTTTGGATAGCGTGGGTTTCAAGGCAGCCGAAGGAAGGTCACGTGTGGGGAGTGAGAACAAGTGCGTGTGCGAATAAGCCCTTATGTGCAGACAGAGCACAGAGCCCTGCAGAGCCCCAGGGACGGAGACGGGGCCGGTTGGGTTGCACTGAGCGTGCACCGGGCCGGGTCCTGGAGAGCCCCGGGGACGGGGCCGGGGCCAGGCAGGATGCCGGGGCCACACTCCAGCTGGGACGCGGGCAGGACCTCCCAGGAGAGCACAGAAAACGTCCATAGCCTTGCAGGTCCCATAATCAGGGAAGCACTTAAAGATTTTGGATGTTTTGCCTGATGAGAAGCCAGAAGAGGGACACGATAACACATTTCAAATGCAAAAAAGACTGCTGGGGGAAAACAGCACTGATCTTCCTCCATGTCCATGCTGGAATAGGAATGGGCTCACTGCAGTGCAAGAGATCAGACACCAGAAAAATGATAAACAAGAAACAACAATAGCGCAGCCCGGGGATAAACTGCCTGGGGAAGCTGGAGAGTGCCCATCAGCAGAAGCTTTTAAGATCAAGACTGGTGAAGGTAGAGAAGACCCTGCCTTCGGGTGAGAAGATGGACCAGGCGAGGGCTCGCCGGAGTGTTGGCTGAGGCCAGCCGCGCAGCTGCTAAAGCAGGCAGCGGACACAAACCTGAACCTCTCAGAAGGATGCAAGACTTGTGGAGGGAGATGGCTTTACCTAGAGTGACTATGAGGATATCTCCAGGAAGAGCAGAGTAAAATTACAGCAAAATTCAGTTAAATATCAGGAATAGCCAAGAGCCTGGGAGTGGAAAATCGCCTCCTAGAGGAAAGGCTGGAGCTGCATTGCCAGAAAGGGATGATGAAACGCTGAATGCACACACAAAAAAGTCCTGAGCTCACTCTTGCAGCGAGGGACTAGCTCACAGCCCTCCCGTTTTCCGTGTCTGCAACTAATGCCAGCTCCCAGAGAGGAGGGGAGCAGCAACACAGGAAGAAAGACAGGTTATTCATGCAGTCTTTCATACTTCAGCATTGGAGCCAGCTGAATTTTTTAAATGAACAGTGAGTTTTTCCTCCTTGCATTTTCTCTCTGCTCTCTCAGAGGAGAAAAATAAGCAGTTTTAGAAAGCAAAATCCTGGTGAAATCAGGTAAAATGTAGAAAATATCTTCATGGGATGTTCCCCCCATTTCTGATACGCTTCAGTTACCTTTTTCTAAACAAAACTTGTCATTAGCAAAGGAGCAGAGCAGGGATGAGAGAGGAGGTGCGCAGAGAGCCGCAGCAGGTCTCTGAACCATCAGGGACAGGAGGGACTTGAGGAAAGGACTGGAAACCACCCAGAGGGGTTTTGGGTACATGCCAACAGCGCAGCAGCTCTCATACCACCCGGGGCTCTGCCCTACATGTGTGTCGCCTGCTGGGAGAACATGCTTCCTGTGCTGCCTTCTTGTTCCAAAAGAATCACTTTGCCCAGCTCTGCTAGTACCTTATACAGAAAAAGGTCGTGTTCCCCATCACGTAGGGTGGTACCATCAGGTCGCATCAACTTCACGAAGGCCATGGAGAAAATCCTCTCACTTTTGTCTTTAGCTGGGAGAGACAAAAACACAGAGTGAGGTGAAGTGGGTTCAGGAACAGCCCGAGGACACGTTGCATGGGCACGGAAAGGGCAGACGCAGCCTGGGGACTGCAGAGCGGGAGCAGCAGGCCCCTGCCCTCCCTGCAGCTGCAGCCTCTTCCAGAGAAGGTGGTGCCAGAGAAATCATTTTTCTTCTTCTGAAGCCAGCAGGCTTTGCACAACGTGCAGCGAGACCGCTTAATCTCCTTGACGCGCTTGGGAGAAGTATCTGCCTGCAATTGCTGGAGAACAGCAAAGAGAGAGAGAGGAAAAACGCATGATGCACAGATAGAGAAGCTGCTGACACGGCGAGCACTGTGCTGCCCGGACAAACGGCCATCGGAAAGTCATCTGGACAAGCAGCAGATGGGGTTTTGGGCAGGGTCAGACCGGCGAGCAGCAGTCTCAGGTGCAGGTTGGGAGAAGTATCTGCCTGCAATTGCTGGAGAACAGCAAAGAGAGAGAGAGGAAAAACGCATGATGCACAGATAGAGAAGCTGCTGACACGGCGAGCACTGTGCTGCCCGGACAAACGGCCATCGGAAAGTCATCTGGACAAGCAGCAGATGGGGTTTTGGGCAGGGTCAGACCGGCGAGCAGCAGTCTCAGGTGCAGGTCTCCCAGCCGTACCCACCATCCCTGCCACCCGAGACAGCCCTCGTGGGCCTGACCCTCCCCTGCAGCAAGCCTGGGGAAGGCGCCCGGAGCGTCGCAGCCTGCGGCCGCACCTCGTCCTAGCACACGTGTTTTTCAGCCCTGGGAAGCAGCTGACAGTGGCGCCCTGCTGCTGGAGCAGCCGATCCTCCCGGCTGCGTGCTGCAGCCTGCACAGCCAGAAGCCACAAGACAGAGAGGATGCTCCAGGAGCCAAGCGCAGACAGCCAGGGTACGGTTTGCATGCAAGAGGCAGCGATTTCCCAGGGATCCGCTGCCTCACTGTGGGCAGCCGGGGGACAGAGCAAACAGGGATGACGGCTTGCTACCTCCCATATATGAGCCCAGATTTCACAGCGTCCCTAATGTATTCTCACACAGGTGCAAGGTGAGGACTGCTCATGGGGCGCTCGTGTTTGTGCAGCACCTGAGCTGCGGAAAGACCATCTCCGTCCCAGCCTTTGTGGGGAACATTAGCAGAGGAAGACCTGAAGAAGAGAGATACTTACAGTCACTGGAGGAGCGATGCCTGAAGGTGAATCGTAGGTGGGTCTTGTGGACATCTTCAATGGGAACAGCAATCTGAGGGAGAGGAGCCCACATGAGCACAGTAGGGCACAGGCTGGATGACCTGGCTGGCAGAGACCCCTTTGTGCCTGAGCTTGGGCAAAGGTTGCAGCGAACCATGAATTTGCTTAAATCCAGTCCCACGTGCTTTTCTTTCAACTGATAAGGCTGAATTAGAGGCAAGTAGATGTCCTGTGCCTGTTTCTGCACGCACATAGGTCGCAGTGCAGGGCTGGTGGAGTATGTCTAGGTGCTGCCACAGACCCGCGTACCTGCACACCTCCACCCTTCCCCGTATCTCCTGCCTGGCGTGGCTCCGTCGACAGGACACGTGGCTGAGCCCACAGGAGCACAGCAGGCTGCGGGGAGAGGCACATGCGGCACAGCGGACCCCCACCAGCCGTGAGCACGCTTGCAAGCCTCCGCCCCCAGGGCTCCTTGCAAGCAGGGATGCCAGGGACATCTGCCTCCCTGCCTGCCCATGGGGACTGGACGGAGGAGACCTCATCAGGGACACTGACCATTGAGCCCACCACAACCCCTGCGACAGAGGTCCCACCTCAGCCTCCACACAAGGAGGCTCGTACAGACCTTCACCGTCTCCATCCATCGCTGGTGTCGCTGCTGGTAGTAGACCACAGAGCGATACTCGCTTGCCAGCTTGTCTCCTGCACCGTGGTAGATCACATTCTGCAGAGAGACACTTCATGTTCAGGTTTTGACATTGCTTGCTATGGATCTTTCTTGGACCAGAGATACTTGAAGGCCTGGAGAGCCTTTGAGTGGTCCAGCCCTCATTGCCCACCAAGCGGGCTTGGCCTCCAGCCCATCTGCTACATCTGCATCCCATGGCCCTGTGCTGGGACACCTCTCGCTGGCTCCTGGTCTCGCTTCCCAGCCCGGCTCACATGGGGCAGTGACAAGGGACCGGCTGCAGACAGGCTTCCCTGGCCCCATCCATCTCTGCAGGGCCTGGCTGTTGTCTCCAAAAGGAGACAACAAGGGACACGCGACCCCCCCAGGGCCTCTCCAAGACTTGACTTCTGTTGCAACGTGGGAAATTCATTATCGCAGATGGAGAAAGAGATGATGGGGGGAGACTGCGCCTCTGGAAAAACACAGCAGGAGCCTCAGTAGGCCTCGGTTTCTCGCAGATCAGATAAGAATTGAGTTTGCAATGAAAGCAAACACCCTGAGAAGAGAGAGACAAGGCAACAGCGGGCTGCGTGACGGGGAGAAGCCTATGGCTTGCTCGGAGCCTGCTCGCCCCGGCCCTCTCCGGGCGGACCCTGCCCGGCCCCTGCTGCCCCAGCTCCAGCACGAGCCTCGGCGAGAGCTGCGGAGCAGCCCGGCGTCCTGGAGCTCTCCGGGAACGGCTGGGGGGGGGCGGCCCGACCCGCGA